GTTTTTCTCTGATGCAAGAACCGAACTGAGAGTGTGTGAAAAAGCAGTGAAAGGAAAAGTGAGACAGACCTTCAGAAAACCCCGAGAACTATTTCTCAAGAACATTTCCATTTATTTGACTGTAGCTGAGGCCATCGTTAATAAAATGCTGTGTTACAGTAGACTGTGAAAATGATCACTGAAACCATAAACTCATCAGGAAAGTGTCTCCCAGGGTGGGCAGCATGATGTGTACTGGTGTAGTCTCCATTATCTCTCAGTACCTATTCCTGCAGGTTTTCAAGCTTCCTTCCATAGTAAAGTAATTGATGAGGTGCTTAAAGTGTACAGAATAATAATGTATCAATTAATGTGGCTTGTAGTCCAAAAAATTGTCTATCTACAGCTGTCAGAGTGAACTGTGGACATGGCTTCTACATTCAACACTCTCACAGCCCAAGTCCTGACACCAACGTCGTCATCGGTTTTGAATACATTTATTCTTTTAAAGCAGGGGTCCCCAATCTCAGTCCACGAGGGCCGGTGTCCCTGCAGGTTTTAGATGTGTCCTTGATCCATCACAGCTGATTTAAATGGATAAATTACCTTCTCAACATGTCCTGAAGTTCTCCAGAGGCCTGGTAACGAACTAATCATGTAATTCAGGTGTGCTGACCCAGGGTGAGATCTAAACACCGGCCCTCGTGGACTGGGATTGCCCACCCCTGTTTTAAAGTAAATGTATGTATGCTGTATGCATTTTGCTGTCGACACCAACCAAAAATCTGTTTTTGGTAATTAACATTTGAAAAGTAACACAAAATGATCCACCTTCCCAGAAAAACACAAAAACTTTTCAGAAGTACTTTTTTCCTCCCAGGCTTCTAGACTTCTGATTGGCCAACATTTCTACATGGCTAGGATTCGGCATGTTCTTAACAGCGTTCGACTTTGTTTTTGGTGTTTACATGTGGACGGAGACATTTTTTCAAACCGTACGTGCACAGACCAGGTGAACACAGCTGTAACACGGAGGCAGAGCAGGTCTACCAAAGTATTCTTAGGCAACATGCTGAACGCCAAACTGGTCTCTGATGTCTTACTGGAGTGTGAAAGTGTGTGAACAGAAAGTGTTTGTAGGAACTGGTGAATGAGGCCTGTTGTATACAGTGCTGCTTAAATAGAGTAGAATGGTACTATATAAGAATCAGAACCAATCCGTACCAGCTCTGTGCAGGCAGATGGGCCATCCCTGCACTGGATAGCAAGCGTGCTAACTCTACCAGAACATAAACCTTGATTATCACTGCACTCTACGCTGAAGCCTGCTCACTCACATCAACTGACCTTTAACAGTTTGAAGAGTCCAAAGGAAGACGGATCCTAATCTCATTGGTTGCTTTGAAATCAGTGACGCCATATCGTGTGATGGAAAGATCCACTTCTCTACGTAAACTAAGTCCCACCAAAGCGTTCTTTGGTCTTTGTTTATCATTTGGAAAATGAAGCTTGCCAGATGAACTATCAGCGGTTTGCTGTGTAGCAGTGCAAATACAGCTGTCACTGGATTACTTCATGTCCTGAAGCGGG